AGGGGGCGGAGAGGTGGATATTCCACTATCTAGGAGTTTTTCTTTTAGGGAGGTCGTGTCCTTCGTGTCTGGATTAGTGCAGGGTAGAACACCTTATTATAAGCTTTTAAATAGGAGCACGCTCCCTTTGCCCAGACTGGGGAAAGTCAGGCAAGGGCGAGGGTCCCTGAGGTCTGTCCAGCCACCTGAGCACGTTTTCCCTTTTTTCTTTGCACATCTGCCAGACTGGGGTTGAGCGACTAGAAGGGACAAAGCGCTTCCGGGGACATTCCGCCTTTTCCCTGTGGAGCCTTAGATGGCGCGCCTGATACCACCTTAGGGTTTGCGCCCGTCTCCCTCCTCCCCACATCTTCGTTCTGGGCAGCTCCGAAGACGTAATAAGGTGGTTGCGTCCTGTTCAAGGCACCTTTGTTCTCGAGCCCTCAGGTAGGGGCGGGGGACCAGGAGGAGGAGATAGGAGGCAGGTGCGCGGCCTTGGGACCGTGGGAGCCGCCTCCCCGCTCCACCCCGGCTCCGGGGCTCTGAGAACGCTAGCCAGATCTACCTCTCCCAGTCACTGGTCAGAGGGTGGGGACCACGGGTCCGACGGCTTGGCTGGTTTGTCAGTAACCGCCCCCGGAAGCCGCGCAGCGTTGGGGGCTTGGACTCGGCAACTGCAGGTGGCAAGGGGCTACAACTTCCTGTAGCACAGGATGGCACTGAGAGCCATCCCTGACTGGGCGGAAACTAGCTGTGAGCATCCCTGGGACACACACTGACCCAACCTGGGACTCCCCCCTCCACCACCCACCTGCCCCCTCATCTGAGGCAGGAGCGTCTCCTGGTGGCCAGAGCGGGAACCCGAGCAGGGGTGACCCTGCCTTCCCTGAACAGACAGGCTCCGAGGCACGCTTCTAAGATCTCACGTTTATTGCATCCGGGCAGCGATACGTGTGCTCACCTCCTTCAGCTCTGTCCAGCCCCCAGCCCCTCCTCAACCCCCGCTGCAATGGCGTGGCGCGTCCGCAGGTTGTCGTTCCACAGCGCGTGCCGGTGCCTGGTGTCTTAAGACGCCTCCTCCGCCTCGTCCGGGTTCCGGCTCCTTCAGTCAACTCCTTCCGTCGCCGCCGGGACTCCAGTGGGCGGGTCCGCCTCTTGAAGTCCCCCTAAGTCGGGCTGGAGGCGGCAGGAGAGGTCAGAGGTAGAGGGAGGCCACTGCTGGGGGCGGCGGCGCTGGCCTGGGGAAGCCAGAAAAAAGGATGTCAGAGGTCTCCTTTCGCCAGACCACTCGGCGGACCATCCATCCTCAGCACCCCTCCGTGCCTACCTGGAAGGTATCACCTGGGGTGGAATTCCAGTCCCTGGGCTAGCCTGGTTATCCAATGGGCGCCGGCCCTGGGGGTGGGAAGGCAACGGCTTCCTCGGGGGTGGTGGCTTGGCAGGCCCCTGAGGCTGAGAGAGAGAAGGCAGTGGACCCGCTTGGGAGGGGGTGTCACGTTGCCTACTCCTGATGCACTGGCGCTGGGGAACACCAGCTTGGGAGCGGCACCCAAAGGTCACCCTTGTCTCCAAACAAACCTGTCACCGTTAAAGGCGCCACTGGGGTAGGTACCCTCGGGAACAGAGGGGGCATCTCGCCACGGCCACCACCGCCAAGGCTACCAGCACCACAGCCCTAGTGGGGGGAGGGGCCATGCCCTTCTCTCTCCCCACTGTTACCTTCGGGCGCCTCACCACCGGGTCAGCAGGCAGAGGGCGCGTGGGGGGGTTGGGTCGGTCAGCCAGCTTGGCCTGAACAGAGAGAGGGCCAGTGGGCATGAGAGCGCAGCCACGGGCAGTGGGCATGCAGAGGTGCCCCCGAGAGGTTCAGGTCAACGTGCAAAGCCAGTCAGTTAAGGGGCAGGAGAGAATGGGGCATGCACAGAGGGCTTGGGTGCCTCACAGAAGATGCCTCAGGGGAGGAAGGGGGCGGGTCACCACGGAGTCCTTGGATAACTGCAGTCCCGCCAATGACCACCAGACGGTGGTAGAAACCAAGGCAGGAGGCTCGCCCTTTGCTGCGTCTAGGGCTGAGAGTGACTGACGGGCACCCTGGTCACCTAATGGAGACCCCCACTGGCAGGGAGCAGGGATGAGAATGGCCATTAAGCACCAAGCCTCCCCCCTGCTCTCGGCCAGGGCGGGCCTGGCCCAGATTTACCTGCAGTCTCTTGGGCACAGGGTCAGGTGGCAGCGGCCTGGAAGGGGGGGCCGGGAAGCTGAGAGCGCTAGTCTGCTGAGAGAGCGGGAGGAGCAGACGGCCACAGAGAGACAATGTGGGCAGAGAGGGGTTAGTGCTCAGGAGGGGCAGCCAGGACCCCAGGGGCAGCAGGGGCTGTGCGTGCAGTTACTCGGTGACGTGCAGAGGGGGGGACAGTGCTGTAGTGGGCATGCAGGCATCCTCCCGTCACCACATCCAGGGGGCTCCAGGCAGGGGCAGCCACCAGCCCTTCTACACATGGTAACCTGGGCCTCG